TCTTGGCTTTGCCGCTGTTAATTGCGTGTTGGCTAAGTTTCCTCTTCTCTTTAAACTGATGCACAATCACAAGCTGAGTGAGTGGAGAGTGGAGTGCAGAGGATGCACACGCGGAGACTTGTGTGTTGAATGCAGCCTGACGCTCGTCCAGTGACTGAAACGACGTTGCACGCCATTTGCAACGCGACCAACGGTGCTCCAAGTCGCCCCAAAGGCTGCTCGCTGCAATTGTCATCGGCAGCTCGGCGCTCGGCACTTGGCGCTCGGCGCTCGGCGCTCGGCTGAAACGACAGGATGCTGGGCTGGACACGACGAGCCAAACGAACGCGTTGCGAACGTTGCCCGACGCACGAGACGAATGCAGATTGGGCTGGCAGCTCGTTGCGTGGGCCTCAAGTTTGAGGCCTGTTGTTGATGTGTGGCAACTGCAGCTCCACTTCACACTTAACTCAACTCGACTCAACTCCACTCAACTTCAATCTAATGCCAATCGAATCTTTATTGAGTGTGCATGCAGCATGGCGCCAGAGCAGCACTAGAACAGTCAAAACCCAGCTCGCAGTGCAGCCGCAAGTTGTAGCTGTGCCTTTGCCCCTCGTCCCATGGCCAATGAGCGGGCTGCATTCAAGGTCAACACGTTTTGACGGCCATTTTGAAATTGCTCTGCCGTTCAATGGCCGCCCAAATGCGGCGGCTGCACGCTGCACTTCCGTGCCCAATCAGCTTGGCCCTGAGTCCGAGCCCAGCCCGCTGCGTTGGCGTCGTTGCCTTGGCAACGTCCTTCGATAGGCGTAACCTCGACATTGGCTCTGAAATTGGGGGTTGCTTCCGCTGCAGCAGCAACAGCAGCAGCAGCAGCTGCACTGCGTTCAAGGTCAGCCGCCATCATCAAATCAAATGAAGCTGTTCACATCTATGAGTGTATGGTGTGTGTGCGTGTGTGTGTGTGTGCTTGCATGCCAGCTGATTGCCAGAGTTGCCACACACTTTAAAGTTATATAGCAATGATTTGCAAAAAGGCGCGCGAAGCTTGAAGTTGAGAGAATCAAGATATCTATAGACTGTTAATGTTACTTAAAGCCTTGTTAACAAATTGTTATTAGCTTATGAATTTCTTAGGTGTTAAAGGTTGAGGAGCAACTGTTACGGATCAACCTAAATATTGGACTAGCCCTTAACTCAAGTTATATTGAAGTGGCTTGAGAAACAGTGCAGAATCTCTTAGAAATTGAAGAAGATTTGATAATTGGGTATTTCCTTCATAGCCTTATATAACTATATTCTTTAGCATTCCAAGTTAGGCAATTTTTAAATCTTTTTTAATGAGTTGCGAGTACTTCTCATGTCTCAAGTCTTCAGCTTTAAGTGACTAGAGACAATAACAACGCCAATAAAATTTCTTTAGCAAAAACTTCTAAAAACTAATCAAATTTGTATTGAGATACAACTAAAGACTGGACTAAATAAGCGCAAGAAAGAGAGATAAAAGCAGAGACGACTAAGAATGAGGTAGTCACAGTGAGAGTAGCTCTCATCTATGCCAGGCAATAAAGACTCTACAGCCCTCAATACTTTAGTGCCCAGACTTGAATCAAGCTCTTAACTTTGACTTAATTATTCGCTTAGTAATCGCTTAAGTGAATCACTGAGTAGCCATTGAAATCTATCAGCAAGCTGCCCTCTTCGTTAGCTTTACAAGTCCAGCACTTCTAGTTAACTAACCTAAATAAAATTCCTAGCAAAGTCTCAGCAGTCGGGCTCAAGCTGCACTACCTTAAAGCTAAAGGACTAGGCATGGCAATCGCTCTCTCTCCCCCTTTATTCTTCAGGTCTACATCAAGTATACGTTAATGCCAGTCTGCGTTAAGTATACGTTATGTGCACATTAAGTATACGCAGCATTCATATTTAGATATAGCCGCAGAGCCTCACTTCAACCAAGTCATTTCCCTTTCCGCATAGGCTAAGAGCATTTCCCTTAAAACCAAAATAAACTTAATTTTCGGCAAATCAAAGGATTTCGCCTCTGCCTGGGTCCACAGCCAAACTGAAAGGGTAATCAAGGTAAAGCAATTTGAAAAGGTCAAACTGTTTTGGCATTCAATTTAGGCGCACAAGTAAATCGAGCAAATCGATTCATTCATACACAGCACATGTATCTGTATGTGTATATATATATATATATATAAATAAATGTAAGAAATACAAAAATAAATGACAATTCATTGCGACGCGTTCGAAATACATTTTCAAATTCATTAAACAGCTAATTTTCACTAGCTGACGATTTAGATATATATTTATATATATATATATATATATATATATATATATATATACAGATATATATATATATAATACTTGTGTAAGTACTATACGTATGTAAATGAAAATTGGCCATCCAATTTTCTGTGGCTGAGTGGCTTTGACTTTGCTTTTGGCTTTTGGTTTTGGTTTTGGTGCCTGTGGCAAACAAATCGCACAATAAATTTGTGCGCCGTCTGACGTCACAAGTGTCCTAGATAATCAACGGCAACGGCAACGGCAAACGTCGAGGTGAAATCTATAAACATGTAATCATGGCAAACAGAAACAAACAAACGAACAGGCAACGGCAACATTTACAAACAACCAGGCCAAAAGCACGTGCATTTAACGAATTTGTTTTTTTGGAAACTTCCGCTGATCTGAACTGCGTTTGACGTTGATTTGATTTTCATTACATTTTTCGGTTTTCTTTATGCTTTTCCATTTGACTTTTATTTCTCCTTTCATTCATTAGATATCCCCCTCCACACACACACACACACACATGCACATAGAGAGGCGCTGGCTAAGCGTTTAAGCTGCCAGCATTCGTTTTTCTCAATGAAATTTTCAAACCCCTCAGCCAAAGGCTGTGCCATGTCTGCCTTGCCTTGGGTTGGCTTGCCTGCCTGCCAGCCTGCCTGCTGCTGTCCTAGTTCCACAATCCACATGACGCAGCCATCAACAACAGCAACAGCAACTGCCTTGTGGATGCCATTCGCTGCGCCTTGTGAATGAATTTCGCACTCTCTCTCTCTGTCTCTTTCACTCTCTCTCTCTTTGCGTCTCTCAATTTCCAGCTGGCTGAGTTTTTCAATGGCCACAGCTCGCGCTGTGTGGCGTCATTGAGGATTATATCTAGCGTTTATCCTGTCTGGCTGCCAGCAAAACTCTCGCCCGCGCCCCCAGCCCCTACTGCCCAGGCAGGCGTGTAGTCTAAAGGCATTCCTGCTCCGCCTGTGTGTGTCTCTGTGCCTGAGTACCTTAATGCAAATACGTTCAATTTTATATGCAAGTGTCATAAAATCACATATATTTAAGCTTTAAATTATTGATAGGTTTTACTGCATATATATAGATAAGCAGATATTATTTATAGATATAACTGTCGTAACTGTATGCAGCTTTAAACGAAGTTATATAGATTCTTTGATAACTTTATAAAAAGAGAAACTTTCGAGCTACTTCACAGCTTCTCATTTTAGATAGATATCAGGATTGATGTGTTAAAACAGAAAGCTTAACTAAGACCTCAAACTATGAAATTGAATCCCTAGTCCTGCATATTAACTATATATTCGAATTGTAACTATATCATATATTTTTTTCTTTATCAAAGTTTGACTTCAAAAGAAACTTCAAAGCAACTTTAACATATTCTATCTACAGTTTATACAAAAACTTGATTTTATATATTAAAAAACTAACTGAAATCTGTAAGTTGGCTTTACTCAGTAGATGAGTTGCGGTAGTGGCCCATTCATAGTGACAGCTCAAATTAGCATAAGCATCTAGTGCAGTTGGCAGTACTTGAGCTATGCTTAAAGCTTATAAAACTTCATCCAAATATATATATATATATATATCCAAATAGTGTTACATCTTTAAACTAAATTAGAGTGATGAGTGTGAAAATACTATTCATCCTTATTTTTCAGATATTGAGTAAGAATTTTCTGTGCTGCAACAGAATGTTATGATGAAACCAGGCTCAGATTCTTAACTCTATTTGAAGCGCCACAACAAAGGAATGACAAGTGTCACAAGCTTAAGACTAGGCTTAAATGGAAGATGGGGTTTTGTATGTATCAACAGCTAATAGTTGTGAGGAGGCACATATCCTAGAGCATGCAGCTTAAGCCTTCTGTGAAGTCGTCTCCATCAAGAGCGAGCCAGCGTAGCAAATACTTGCAATGACTCAACTCGCAGAACAACTCGATATTTGAATGGAGACAAAAGAAATAGAGAAATGCAGATTCAAGGATATGCCAACGCCTCAATGACACAAGGAGTTTGCTCTAATGTGTTTCAAGTGGAGCATAAAGCAGATTTTGAGTGACGCACTTGCAGCAGCGCATGTGTGTGTGTGTGGCACACTCGAGAACTGTGCCGTGTTGTGTGTGCGACAGAATTGTCCTTCCAGCACAGGTTCAATGAACCTATGGCGGTTGGCTGACCCAGTTTTTTGTGCAGCGCCTGGCAAGCTAGCAAAAGCCCATTCACAAGCAGCAGCAGCAGCAGCAGCATCAGCAGTCGCAGCATCCACATTCACATCCTTGGCGCATTCAATGACAGATATGAATGAAAAAGGAGCTGCGCATGCCACCTGGTTCAATGCACTGAATGAAGGTTACGCGAGCAGAGCTCACAGCTGCAGTGACGTCATTGCTGACACAGTTTTCCCCATTTCCAAATGACAAACGTTTTCTCTTTTCCTTCAGATTTCTTTTATAACTTTAAATTTCATTTTTAATTTGAGGCGTAACACAAAAAAGGCGCAAAATGTTATTCTTCTTCTACTATTTGTTGTTGTTTTTTGTAATTGTTATTATTATTATTATTGTTGTTGTTGTTGTGCAAAAAAGCGTTTACAAATTTGATTTAAAAACCTTTTTCCAAACACATTTTGTTAGCGAGCCAGCGACTGTAGACCAAATACACACACACATATATATATATATAATATATATATATATTTTCAATAACACTAAAGCATTTTCTTTCTTCTTCTTCGTCTTCTGGCATATATAAGCCTCAAGCTCAAGCAGTCTGTGGTTAAAGAGTTCTCAGTTAAAAGTACATAATTTTGTGGCAAATGCAGATGCAGTTGTAGTTGCAGCTGCAGCTGCATCTGTAGCTGCTGATGTTCATCGTCTTCTTCTACGTCATCATCCTCAGCATCATTTCATAGGGATATTTTGGCAAAATGGCTACTTAAAGTATTTCGAATAACTTTTTAAGCTCCACCATGAGCGCCCAGTCGGTTTTGATTAAGTCATCACGGAAATAGTCCTTGCAGGCATCAATGCTCTGGCGTGAAATCTGCAAAGATATAGATGTATATATGTAAACAGATATTAGATATAAAATATATATAAATATATTTTTATGTATATGCATTTAAGACTTAGCAAGAACTCTCTGAGACCTTAACAAAATAGAGTGATAAATTCAAAATATAAATATTTTCAATTAATTTGATATTGATTGATGTATTTATATATATATATTTATATACATATATATATATATATTGATTACATATATATATTTCGTTAGTGCACAATAAATATTATTCTTAACATCCGGTCGATACGCCAAGGCAGCTCAATTGTATACATTTCTTAGTCTCCATTTCCATTTCCATTAGCATTTCCATTTAATTATAATTTTTTGCCAGTTGCATATTAATTAGCTTGAACAATGCTTTCAATATGGAGAGCCGCATACATAATGTCCCGATACAAAGATATATAACTATAGACGTATCGCACAATGGTGGCAATGGGCCATGCATACCAATGAGCTCAGCATAAGCTAGGCTTCTTCTATTTGAGTTTGTTGAATGGGCATAAGTGCACATATATCGCAATCGGCTAAGAAGTTATCTATAATATTTGCTGGCATGATATCGATATATTATCGATGATATTGTTGATAGCATATATAAAAGAAGTATATCATATATCAAATATATTCCGATGTTACTTCATTCTATCAAAAATTATCTATATTTGCAATGCTGTTTTTATCGATAACATTTTCGATTGCATATAGAAATAAAATATACATATTATATGTAATAGCATAAGCAGTTATATGTTCTAGCTAAGACTTATCTATTATATTTCACATACTTTGCTTATCGATAACATTATCGATAATTTATATACTACTTCTTAGCCTACAATAATAGAAATGAGCTAACATATAAATATATATCTATAATGATTAGCGATATTATTTAATTTATATTGAACATGTTTATCGATAACAATATCGATAACATTTTTTTGTTATTTTATATATTGAATCATTTTTAGGCATACAAATTATGGCAAACTTTATTGAAACATAAAAATAATACTCTAAAAATCATTGATCTGTGGTCTTATGAAGGTTTTTACCTGAAAACAGATAAGAATAAGCCTCAACTTTGTTTTTAGTCTTACAGTTGACCCCATACTTTGAGCTATTTATAGCCAGTGCCACATAAACCTTATCTGCACTTTAAAGCCAGGGGGTTATTTGGGTATTTGGGTTGCTGTCGCTTGAACCGGGTCGCAAAATGCGTCAGAATCTCTGATAAAAAAAAAAAGAACGAAAGAGTCAAAGCCGCTGTGGCACAATGCAAAAGCTTGAACCCGGTTGCACGGCAACTGGGTCAAGTGAGTAGCCAAAACAAACCGACGACGAACAAAACTGGGTTATTTCGCTGAGAGAACACCAGAAGTCAATGAACGTTGCGGCAGCAAGTGCATTGCCGTGGAAGGTGAAACGTGACGTCAGCTATGGCCCCAGCCTCTGTGGGCGGGCCTGGGGCTGGCGCTGGCGCTGGGGCTGGGTTTTGGGGCGCGCCTTGATCAGGTCAGCCATGACATAATACCCTTTGATAGCACGAGAAGGCATTGAGCGCTAAAAATAGCCAAGCGGCTGTAAATAGATATAACTGAATGGAATGGGCACGTACACACACTTACAGCACACACAGCACACACACACAGACACACACACGCACACATGCACGAAGGCAGTCACGCCACACTCTCTCTGCCCGCCTCGTCCTTGATGTGTTTTTCTCTTTTCATATTTTGTCTTTACATGAGGCGGACTAAATTTGATTACCCAACTCGACAGGCAAACAATTTTTACGACAAATTAATTGAATCAAACTCGCTACAAAGTGGAGCTCAATGAGCAATTACCCAACGATTCTTAAGGCCCCAAGCCCAAGCCCAAGCCCAACCCCAGCCTAGCTGGCAGTCCATGCTGCTGACGTCATTGATGTCGCCTCATTGATAAGCGACACTAAAATAGCGCGAAAATTAAGTTCATTATCGATTTCAAAAGTTAACTCATACACACATAGACACAGCACACACATACACACACACACACACACACACACACACACACACATAGCACAATGTCCTGTTTGACGTCAGCAATATTATTGTTTTTGAATACCCTGTA